GCATAGGGAGAACAGGAGCAGCCCGCTGCTGCCCTCATGCCCCTGCAGGGCCTCAGCAAACCTTTCTGCTGCTTGATTGGTCTCAGATTTTGGGGTTTTTTAAATATATGTGTATTTTTTATTGGTTTCAGAGAGGAAGGAAGCAGGAGAGAGAGAGAGAAAGAGAGAGACATCAATGATGAGAGAGAATCATTGATTGGCTGCCTCCTGCATGCCCCACACTGGAGATCAAGCTTGCAACCCAGTCATATGCCCTGACCGGGAATCTGACCGTGACCTCTTGGTTCATAGGTGAACGCTCAGCCACAGAGCCACGCTGGCCGGGAAGGTTTCTGGTTTTGTTAGGAGGCTGTGGGGAAAGGGGCTCTCTGAAGGCTCATAGTCACCGTTCATGCTGCTGAAGAGCCGTGCTAGGCACTTCCAGTCCTGGTGCCCCAGCCATTCCTTGGTGGGCAGAGAACTGACCACGCCGGCCTCCCTGCTGTGGCGGGGTGCTCCCACCTGGGTCCCAGCCCTTCCTTCCGTGCTTCTGCGGGAGGCTGCCATGCTGCCTCTCCCGGGGTGCTTGGGTCCGAGGCCTCCATGCCAGGCTTCTGACATGCATCTGGTCAAGGGTGCGCTGTCGCTGGCGCTGCTCTCACAGGGCATCTGTTCTTTGTGCAGAAGCTGTCTGCCGGCACTCTGCGGAAGCTGGGGCTGCCACAGGCGAAGGCCCGCCACCTCCCTCTGCACCTGCATGCCCGCCAGCTCGTCCTGCCTGCCCTGGGTTCCAGGAAGGAGGAGCTCAACCTGGTCTGCAGTCTCCCTCGCTACTTTGTACGTTCTGTGAGCCGCCTGGGCCTAAAGCTGCCAAGTCAGGATCCAGACGAACTACAAAGCTGAGCCCCTGGGAGTTTAGGGAAGATGGCTGGACAGTGCGCACTGGCCTTGAATTCTTCCCTTTGTTGAATGGATGCGGCTAACTTCTCCTGTGGGACAGACTCCAGAAGAGCCAAGCGAGGAGCTGAAAGACTCCAGCTGCTCAGGGCTCTTACTGGAAACTGATGTGTATTTTCTGATCCTGGGCCACAGCCTGGGAAAGCCCGTGGGAAGTCTCCCTGCCTCGGGGTCATCTTGCCAAAATGGACAAGAGCCCAGGACAAGGCAGGTGGGGGTCACTGATTGGGAACCGAGAACTGCAGCCCGGAACCTGTGAGCAGGCGTTTTTCACCCAACAATAAAGTTCTTAGTCCACCAGGCAGGCTCCTGTGGTTGGGAGGCACGTGTTTGGTACTGGCAGATGAGAACTTCAGAAGCAGCCTGTCACCGTCCCTGGAACTGCGGGACCATGAGCAAGCCCTTCTGCTTCGTTTTCCATCTCAGGTTTTGTAGACACAGAATTCGGGGATTCCCTCCAGCTCCAGCCTGTGAGCCATGCTTCTTCACCTGTGATCCTGGGACCTGGGACGGGTGCATGACAGCAGGGAAGCAGATAAAAACGTAGGCAGATAACAGGAAGGAGTGGCGCGGGCAGGTGTGCACGTGGTGAGGGCACACACCGTCTGAAGAGGGCATTGGATGGCTCCATCTGGGCGTGGCTGTGTGGGAACAGCTGTTATCATTATTTTCAGAGTCAGGAAATCCAGATGTTTATGTGAAATGTCCCTGTATGTGGCTAAGTAAAGCAATTAAAAAAACTCCAGGTCAGTTGGCTGTGAGCAATTAAATATTTTTATTAACTTCAGAGAGAGAGAGAGAAATATCAACGATGAGAGAGAAACAATGAGCTACCTCCTACATGCCCCACACGGGTTCGAGCCCACAACCCAGGTATGTGCCCTGACTGGAATTCGAACTGTGACCTCCTAGTCCATGAGTTGACATCAATCACTGAGCCACGCTGCCTGGGCCAAATATAAATTTTTATGTACATGCATATTTTTATTGATTCACTCCTAGGAGTGCAATTGCTGGGCCATATGGTAACTCTTAGTCATACAATAATTTTGCTTAACACTTTGAAAAAATACATATTTTATTGATTTCTTAGAAAGAGGAAGGGAGAGGAACATCGACAAGAGAGAGTCATCAATCAGCTGCCTCTTGCATTCCCCCTACTGGGGATGTGCCCACAACCAAGGTACATGCCCTTGACCAGAATCGAACCTGGGATCCTTCAGTCCGCAGGCTGACACTCTATCCATTGAGCCAAACCGGTTTCAGCTGATTAACGCTTTGTAAAATTCCAAATTTTTCCAAAGCATTTGCACTATTTTCCCTACCAACAACAGTGCATCACGGTTCAGTTTATCAACACTTGCTACCGTGTTTCCCCGAAAATAAAACATCCTCCAAAAATAAGACCTACTTACAGGTTTCCTTCTGAGTGAAATATAAGGCATCCCCCCGAAAATAAGGCCCTGCTAGGTTCTGTCTCAGAATGAAAATTAATTTACTGTAAACTCTCGCTAGGGCTGCCCCAACTGGCATTTAGCAGCCAGTGACATTAATCGGAGTCCTGACAGTCACTGCTGTGTGGAGGCAGAGCAGAGGTTGGAGTGAGCTGTGAGCGCGGGGCGGGAGAGAGGAGGAGACTTTCGCAGATGCTTGTAGAACAGGAGGATTAGAACAGACGGGACACAGCGAAGGTGGCGAGTGCTGGTCTGTCTCTGGTGACACTACCTGATGCTCGCGGCCGCCCTCATAATGACTGAAGGTTCTGAGTCAGTGGCAGACCCTTCTCCAGCCCAGATCCAGGCCCAAGCAAGCCCAGTGACAGTCCCCAGGCAGGCCCCAGGGGGTAAATGTATGATAAAGGGGTAGGGGAGATATCTGGTGAAGGTGTTCAGTGGCACAGGGGTGGTGGAGGGGGATCACTTAAAATGACGCAGGAGGATCAGAGGGGGCAATCAAAATGACATAGGAGGATCAAAAGGGGTTACTAAAATGGTAATCCCCCCCTCTGATTCTCCTGTGCCATTTTGATTCCCTCCTCTGATTCTCCCCCCACGCCCATGTCATTTTAAGCGATCCCCCTCCACCTTGATACCCCAATTCTTTTTTTTTACCCCTAGAAATGAGAGCAAAAAGAAAAGGCTACTCCGTGGAGTACAAGAAAGGAATCGTGGAAGACTCTTGGAGCCAAAATCTTACTGCTTTCTGCAAAGAGAAGGTGTTGAGTATCCGATTGGTCCAAAAATGGCGAGCAGAGTATGGTAACCTCATTGAACAAGTGGACAAGGGAAATGCTAAAAAGTGCAAGTGTGGATCATGGATCAGGTCGGCAACCATTATTTTCCAATCTGGAAAACCTGATCTGTGAATGGGTTGTTGACAGGAGAGCAAAGGCTTTGGTTGGGAATAGGGCTCAGATTCAAGAATTTGCCCTTGCAATGGCACCACAGTTTGACATAACCCCAGAAGACTTCAAAGCATCACAACACTGGCTGGATAATTTCCTTCAGCGAAGTGAACTGTCTTTAAGAAGATCTACCTGTACAACATTGTTTAGATTGGAAGATACTCAAGTTATTAAGCGAGCACTTGCATTCAAGTCCTTTATTGATGATGCTGACTTCTATAAATACAATCTTTCCAACATGATTGCTATGGACGAAACTGCAGTGTTTATGGACCAAACATCTCAAACAACAATTGAACAGCAGGGTGCCTCCTTAGTGTACATTCCCTCCACTGCTTACAAAAGTGCACATGTTTCCTGTATTTTGGTAATTTGGATGGCACTAAAATCCCACCTTTCATCATTTCTAAGGGCAAGGAGGAAAAGATTGAACGTGTTTTGGGCGTTTTTATTCTTGAAACTGAAAAAGCCTAGGCCACACAAGCAGTTATAAGGAAGTGGGTTGATTTAATGCTGCTGCTTGTTATGCAAGGGAGCCAAAGAGGTCTGCTAGTCTGGGATGCAGCCAGCACTCTCCTCGCTAAAGACATGAAGACATTTTTTCATGAAAGAAAAATAGATTAGATAATGATTCCCGCAGGAATGATGGCCTATCTACAGACTCTTGATATTGCAATAAACAAGCCATTCAAAGACAATTTGCGCATGGAAATTAATGACTACATTGAAAATAGAATGGAGAGAAATCAGCATGGAAACTTTGTGAAACCTAAACTGTGAGAAGTTGTGACTTGGGTGAAGAATTCACGGGAGAAAATCACTGACAGTTGCATTGCAAATGCACTGTGAGCAGGCTACCTTGATAAGAAGTACTCATTTAAAGACAGTGGTATCGCTAAACATGAGAAATTTGGTCCACTGATTCTCAAAGAAATGGAGTCCCAAGAAATTCACTGGGAAATTCAGGAATTGGATTGTTATGATGATGCTCCAGAAGATGATGACATGATTGTCATTGAATAAATGAGTAAATTCTTGATACTGTAGGATTCAGTTTGTCTGGTTTGTGTTGACAACTACCATACTACCGTACTGTATACAGGTAATAAATTTCCTTTATTTTCATTTAACAATAAATGTGTACTGTATTCTTCTTCATGGAAAAATAAGACATCCCCTGAAAATAAGACCTAGCACATCTTTGGGAGCAAAAATTAATATAAGACACTGTCTTGTTTTGGGGGAAACAGGATAGGACATATGTTTGCTATTTTGCTGCCTATGATTCATCTAACATTTTTTTATGGTTTCCCATCTTATGTTTAAGTCCTTTATCCATTTTGATTTTATTTTTGTGTATGGTATAAGTTGGTGGTCTAGTTTCATTTTTTTTTTTTTTTTGCATGTATCTGTCCAATTTTCCCAATATCATTTATTAAAGAGAATGTCTTAACTCTACTATATGCTCTTGCCTCCTTTGTCAAATATTAATTGAGCATAAATCCATTTGATCCAATAATTCCACTTCTAGAAATATATCCAAGAACACAGAAACACAATCAGAAAGAATATATGCACCCCTATGTTTATAGCAGCACAATTTACAATAGCTAAGATTTGGAAACAGCCTGAGTGCCCATCAGCAGATGAGTGGATTAGAAAACTGGTACATCTACAGGATGGAATACTACACTGCTATAAAAAAGAAGGAATTCTTATTTGCAGCAACCTGGATTGAATTGGAGAGCATTATGCTGAGCAAAATAAGCCAGTCAGAGAAAAATAAATATCACATGATCTCACTCATATGTGGGATATAATGAATGAAAACAGATGCAGAGAAAGAGAAGCATCAATGAGACCATCCAACCTCAGAAAGAAGGCAGGTGAGAGAGTATTGGAGGTCAACCCAAAGACTTGTATGCATGAATATTAACATAACCAATGGAAACAGACACTGTGTGGTGGGGGCTTGTCCTGGAGGATGAGAGTGGCTGGGGGGATGAGGGAGTCAATCAGGGAAAAAGGAGGCATATGTAATATTTTAAACAATAAAAGAAGAGGAAGATTATCTACACTCTTTGGACAAACCCTCCATGTCAATACTAGATCTTTAAAAATAATTATCCTGCCTAGCCAGTGGGGCTTAGTGCTTGAGTGCCACCCTATTATCCAGGAAGTCACAGTTTGATTCTCCATCAGGGTACATGCCTGAATTGCAGGCTCTATCCTCAACATCATTGTTAGTTCTATTTCTTCTCTATTCCTCCCTGAAATCAAGAAAAATATATTTAAAAAAATAAAAAATACCCTTTGTAACAGCATGGATAGATCTGGAGAACATTATGCTAAGTGAAATAAGCCAATCAGAGAAAGGAAAATACTCTGGAATGTAATGAACAAACTGAACTAACAAATAAAATAGAAACATATTTATAGACTAGAGGGATGGTGCATGACAATCTAAGGAAAAAGAGGTCAGTGCCCCTGACTAAATCATCAGGTATTGCATGTTTTAAAAAGTATTGTAGCAGACCAGTTGAAAATTGCTGCATTAGAAGGAATCACCAGTAGTTTAAATGAAGCGAAGATCAAATCAGTGATTTGGAAGACAAGGTAGAAGAAAATACCTAATCAGAGCAGCAATAACAAAAAAATTAAAAAGTGAGGATACTTTATAGAATCTTTGGGACAACCTGAACTGTAACAATATCTGCATCATAGGGTAACCAGAAGAAGAAGAGAAAAAGCAAGGAATTGAAAACCTACTTACAGAAATAATGACTGAAAGCTTTTCTAACTGGTGAAGAAAAACGACAGAGTCCCAAACAAGATAAACTCAAAGAGGCCCATGATAAGATACATCATAACTAGAATGATAAAGGTAAAGACAAAGAGAGAATCTTAAAAGCAGCAAAGTAGTTGTTTGTATGGAAAATAATACAATCTACACTAATAAAAGAGAAACATGCAAATTGCCCCACCAGCCAATCAGGAGTGAGTATGCAAGTTAACCCAACAAAGATGGTGGTGGCCATGGAGCTGGAGTGAGCAGGAGTCTTGGATTTCCCCTGGCAATGGAGGAAGCCAAGCTTCCTGCTACTCCTGGCATCCGCTCAAGGATGGGCTGGAGGCCTGGGTCGCTGGGGGGCATGGCCAGCCTGAAAACAGCCCTCAGCCCTCAGCCCTGAAAAGGCTATGGCCAGCCTGAAAATGGCCTTCAGCCCCTTACCCAGTCTGGCCATGCCCCCATGGAGTAAGAGTCCCTGCTGGTGTCCTGGCCAGCCTGCAAACAGCCATCAGCCCCTCATCCAGCTGGCCAGGCACC